AAGAAGAAGAAGAAGAAGAAGAAGAAGAAGAAGAAGAAGAAGAAGAAGAAGAAGAAGAAGAAGAAGAAGAAGAAGAAGAAGAAGAAGAAGAAGAAGAAGAAGAAGAAGAAGAAGAAGAAGAAGAAGAAGAAGAAGAAGAAGAAGAAGAAGAAGAAGAAGAAGAAGAAGAAGAAGAAGAAGAAGAAGAAGAAGAAGAAGAAGAAGAAGAAGAAGAAGAAGAAGAAGAAGAAGAAGAAGAAGAAGAAGAAGAAGAAGAAGAAGAAGAAGAAGAAGAAGAAGAAGAAGAAGAAGAAGAAGAAGAAGAAGAAGAAGAAGAAGAAGAAGAAGAAGAAGAAGAAGAAGAAGAAGAAGAAGAAGAAGAAGAAGAAGAAGAAGAAGAAGAAGAAGAAGAAGAAGAAGAAGAGGAAGAAGAAGAAGAAGAACGATGACCCGACCCTCGGGTTCTCTACCGAATCCGACTAGGTAGAGGAACACAAAGACGCTCCGTTAAGGGACTTCTCGGATAATAAAACAGTCGAAGGACCGTCGTGTAATAAAGTCCGCAGTTTGGCGACAGTAATTCGGCAAGCGTTAGTTGTTAAACGATTGTTGTGCGATTGTTAAATCACCGTTTCTCAGGGGAGTAATAAAGGATCCTGATAGAGGAACGCCAGGGCGTTAGAGTGTTCAGACGGTGGAAGGAATTCGAACCTGCGGTTCCGGGCGACGCGGCGTCGGAGGAGTGTTGGTCGAACCGGTCACGAGGCGGCCGCAGAGGACACTAATCGCTGGTGCCAGGATCGACTCGACTAGGCGGTCGTTATCAGCGAGAGGGAAACCTGGATAGTCCGGCCGTGGCGTGCGACAGCGTAACAACGACTGCGTGTACAGCGCTGGACGGTGTTTCCAGGTGGAAGGAGCAACGGCACACGCACCGTGGCCGGCGAAACAAGCGGGGAAACTAAAGTCCCATAGGATACGCGGTGCTTCTATACACTGTGTACACCTAGATAGTTATGAAGGCAGGTGCTGGCGGACAGGTGAACGTGGCGGAACACAGGAAGTGCCAGAGACAGAGAGGCATTACAAAACCCGGGGGAACAACAGGGTGGAGGGAGGGGGGTGGGGGTACAGAAGAAGGCAATGGGAAAGAAGGGAACAGCCGGCGAAGAATGCCGTGCGACCGACTCCTCGGTCGCGTGCCTCCTGCTGACTAAATTCATTTTAAATCGATCGTTCCGATAGAGGCACCGCGAACACCTCAGAAGCAGCGGACGGATCTTTTTTTCTTGCGCGCGCGAACGTTCGTAGACGCGAGTGAAAGTCGTCACGGAGGTGCGAGCCTTCGGATATTACACGAAGAGGATGATGGCAGCGATCCCGCGGAATTGCTTCATTCGGAGAAGTTTGACCGTCGTTGGTCGGACAAGCATCGGACGAGACCTCGTTAATAGGTATAACCTATCTCGGTTTGTTTAATTTTACGAGTCCATTGTGTTCCGGCCGGGAGCAACGAGCTCTTTTACGACGGAAACAAGCATAAACCGTGTGTATCCCACCGGTGGAACAATCGAGTTTATGCGCGCGCGCGCGCGTTGCCTCTTCAGAATTGGAAACAGAAAGTCTATTCTCTGACCTTCCATTCACGCCATAAACGGCGCGCTTGAACAGGCGGCCCGTAATTCGCGGAATTGCCAGGCCGGGTACGCAAGTGCGCAAGTCACTTGATTAGCGACGAAACGAGCCGGCTACAGGTAACCGAGCGCGAGCCACGACACTCTCGACTCGGCTAATCCTTCTCCCTCCGCGTTGCTCCAGCGCGTAAACGGGGACTCGTGGGGAATTAATAATCGGAGACGGGGGTATCGGAACCTGTTCATTCATTACCCCACTTTTTAGAAGCTCGGGCGAACTCCTCGACAAAGCTAGAAGATTCTTTAGCTCTACCTCTCACTCTCGCTGTAATCAAAATAATTGTATTAACCCCTTAACGCACAGTTTTTTTCGAAAAAAACGGCCAAAAAAATTAATTTATCGCCCCTGATTTAACTTTTCTTTCGGTGGAGAATTTTGATATACTGCGCTTTTGTTCCATGGAAAAAGGCTATATTTTATTCTTGAATAAATAAGTGTTATAGCTTACGATCCCATGTAAATGACAAATATCAATAAAACGATGTTATTTTTCTTCGCTTTCACGTTGTTATTTTCAATTCTCGATTATATTCGAGCGTGAAAAATTATAGCAGCATAAAATACAGCGCCGCTCGAATTATCTCGAGTGCGCAAATTAACTCGAGCGTACAAGTTAAGGGGTTGATTAACCCCTTAATGCACAGTTTTTTTGAAAAAGGCCGGCCAAAAAAAATCAATTTTTTTTAATGTAAAAAACCAATTTAGAACGTTGTCTTGGCAAGAAAATTACAAAAATACAAAAATAATCAAAATTTTTATTGCAATTCTAATTTTCAGAATATTACTATTATTATTATTATTATTATTATTGTTATTATTATTATTATATTTCAGTAAAATACATATTGAAAAATGAGCGAATCAGAATCTGAATATGAATACGCTGTCGGAAAGCGGCTCACAAGGACGAGATAAGTCGTAAGTGAAAAGTAGAAAAAGGATATATTTTATTCTTGAATAAATAAGTGTTATAGCTTACGATCCCATGTAAATGACAAATATCAATAAAACGATGTTATTTTTCTTCTCTTTCACATTGTTATTTTCAATTCTCGATTATATTCGAGCGTGACAAATTATAGCAGCATAAAATACAGCGCGCCGCTCGAATTATCTCGAGAGCGCACAGCTTGGCCCGTTTGGCGCGCTCGAATTAACTCGAGCGTACAAGTTAAGGGATTAATTAAAGAAAGAATGAATAGAAAGCTGTTTCGAGCCTTCGAGAATAACGAGGACATCCTCTTGGTTCGAAGACGACTCGGTGGCACGAACTCGCGTTACACGGGTCGGTCTCAGGCGAGAAAGATCGCGGCTCGCGCGGCGCGAGCATGGAATCCAAAGATGTCGCCATGGCGTTATCAGCCAACCACCGTCCTATCTGGTCGAGTTCGCCAGAGACGCGCGCTCGCCGTCGCCGTCGCTTCGCGTCGCGCCGCGTCGAATAGGTCCGCGTTGTTATGCTACTTGCGAACACGGACTCGCGTACAGGAATAGCAAGCCCCACCTTTGGCGTCCCACGTGCGTGTATGCGGCACGCTGTATTTCCCGTGCGCGAGCGAGTGCAACACCGTCCGACGAAGTCGTTGACTGGAAAACGACCGGGGGCATAGGAAGAACGGGGGGCCGGGAGGGGGACGAGGGAGCAGGAGGGTGCCAGGGCACTCGGTACGCTCGTTTATTCGCACTTTTACCAGGTTCCCTCTCATGCCCGGCCAGTTTGTTTATCGGGGTCTTCTTGCATCGAGAGAAGAGGATGCCTGCACCCTTCTGGGCCACCGCAATCGGCGCCACCGGAAGCCGCCCCACCGCGGCCGCCATTTTCCTGCGGATGTTTACACGGGGTTTTAGCGAACCGATTTGAAAACGTGGCCGATCAGAAGAAACGTTTCGTCTGGAGATCGTCGGCGTTCGTCGGATTCGGCTGAACGTTTGTTTGTTAACAGAATGGGCGCCGGCATTGGTCTCGTATGGGCGACGCTGATGGGTTTGACTGGGTATCGAAATTCATTTCTATCGTGTTATAGTGAACGAACTGAATTTTACCCTGGATTTTCGGACGATTTTGACATCGTAGTGAACGTTGGGCGCTGATATTCGACGCTCGACGAGTGTTGAATCATCGTGCTGGCGTAGCATCGGTTTCAGATTTTCGTTGTCCCATTATCAGCTTTGTGCACGCGTTTTAACGGCTCCGGCAAGAAACTCCTGCAGCGACCAAGTTTCATCGGGAGCATGGCAGAACCGTTAAGCCCGGGATGCCTATCGCCCCGGATAAAGATGCGATACGTGCAAGTCACGTGTTCCAGTTTTTTAGCCTCTAGAAAATCTCATTAAGGATTCCACTTTTTCCGCGTGTAACAGCCGCGGGTAAAATGGTGCGATACCGCGGCAGAAATATCGAAATCGATCGGTCACAGAGGTTCTTACGTTAAGCGGCCGGAGAGAGAACACGAGATCGGAAAAGTTGCACCGCCCGTAGACCGCGCCGGTGTTTACGGGCAGAGAATCGCGTTCGCGGATTACCGTCAGCAAAATTGCGAGCCGAGGGAATGTTAAACGATGGAGGAAGTCCTAATACACGCGCGTGATAATAAGAGCAGCGGAGGCAACGTCTCTCTTTCTTGAGAGACGCCTGCTTATCCCCATGTTCTAGCTGTAAAGGTGGTACATTCGTCAGGAAACAAGAAATTAAGCGATGCACGATCGAAGGGCTCACTCGTGATCGTAATGTTACGTTTGAGTCTGCGTGACTTCCGGTGGAACCCGCCTTTCCTGTGCCCCCATCGATCGACCCACGCGCTTTAAGGTTTCCTTCGAACGTTTCCTTCCCGCTCGGAGCGGCTCGAGCACGTTTCCAACGAACGCTATCTTTCGGCGATCGGTTCAGACGGCGGTATAGCGCAGGCCAGAGCTGATCGAACGGCAAAACTGGTATCGGGAGCAGGTGTTGCAACAAGAGGCTGGAACGAATTCTTCCATCTTTAATGAAAAGCAAATGTAAAAGGGACGAGGGAATTGGATCTTGGTCATCTTTGGTCTCTTTCGGCCTCCCCCACCCTCTTCGGCCGCTTCTACTATAATCACCGCTTGCCTTCTTCAGAAACTGGTCTTTGCAAGGTCGCCATAAGAACCTGAATGAAAATCAAGTTTGTCGAGAGCTACTTAGAAAGGGACATTAGAGGATCCTCGAGGAGGCCTGGTAAAATGACCGGCGACTTCCTGGAAGGGGCTGGTTACCCTTTTAGTTAACGATTTATCATCCCAGCACCCCAATCAAGAGGTCACCGAAGACAACTTCGCAATCTTCAGCGTGGTTATTATGTCTGTTTCTTTTTTTTTTTAATTTAATTTCCACAAACGAATTACCAAACGTTCGCATCGGAATGTTTATTATAATATAAACCGGCGATGGAATGCGAACTAGCGCAACTGCGAGCTATACTTTCTCACGAAATCACGCACTTGACTGGCCAGATCGGAATTTCTCTCGGTGTCGTCGATCGGAACCGTTCTAGCAGCTGATAGGATCCTCGACGTCTCTTCCTCGGCCGGAAGCAACGTCGATCGTTTCCGCACCCTGCGCGGTTCACGGATACCCGAGTTATCATCGTGAATCGACGCTCCGCTCCCTATACGGGGACTCGAGTCACGGGCATAATTAAAATGCTCTAGTAAACGTTTTAACTGCTCCGGAGCCGACACACGGTTTTTCTTATAGCGCATCTCCTTCCACGGGAACTCGTTATTCTCATTTCCTGTCGACACCGCGCCGCTCATCGTTGCCTCCGACACACCGCTGTCCGACGTTTGCGCGGCCCTGCTCACTGGAAATTGCGAAACTCGCTAACAATCGCCGTTTCCCGTCTTCGATCGATTTCGTTCCCTTCGACGTTTACCGAAAATTATGTCACGTTCGAACAGGCCGGCCAGGAAATTCTTGATTCTCTTTGTCGCGTCGGCGACGTGGCTCGCCGAGCTGTTTCGCAACTTCTTCAAGTATTTCGAACCCCGAGAGCCTTGCACTTTTTCCATCTCGATGCCCGTCTGCGATACCTTCTGCTTCCACGAAGTTTTCCTCTCCTTCTCTCTCTCCGCCGCGGGGTCCTTCTTCTTTTTGGGTTTTGAGGTTTCGCGATCGTCGCTCGCGCTACTACTTCCGGTCTCGTGATTCTTCATCCGCGGAACCATGCTCCGCAGTTTCGCGTGCAGTTTCTCGATCTCCTCCAGTTTGTCCATGATCTCCTTCATGTACTTCTCGGCCATGGCTAAACGAAACACGTGACGTGTTTCTTTGGTCAAAAAAAAAAAGGAAAAATGTGTGCGCGCGGTCGGCAACCTTACGACCTCCTTCGGTTATCGAAGAAACAGATGAGTCGCTTGCGATCGTGGCGTTACTTCGTATCGCGGTGCACGGTGTCGCTCGTTCGGGGAGACAAATTGTAACCTTTTCAGGAAGTTTCGCGCAGTTTCGAACAGCGGCCGATTTAAATTAACCAGTTCCGATAATCGCCGGGTAAACGATGCTGCCGAACAAGAAGACCGAGAAATGCCAGTGCACGGGAAGGCGGCGAGACCCGGCCGCTGTTACTGTCATGCTCGTGACGAAGGAGCGAGCCTGAATGACATCGCGAAAATCATCGCCGCGTTAAACCATAAAATCTTGGTCTTACGAAACGAGGTTAACGCGTTTAAAAATGTCGCCGCCAACTGCGGGAAGAAATCGTCGGATGAGAACAAGAGCGACCACCTGTCCGCTCCAAATTACGAAACAGAGCCCGGCATCTCCCCAAGTAACGCGCAACCTGATGGACCATTGAAACCGGAAACAGCTGTGGCGCACGTGATTCCTTTCCGAACGAGGCCCGTTATCAATTATCAGCTGGGACGTGAGAAGGCCGACAGCGAGGTTCTAGCTGACATCTTGAACGGTGCGGTAAATAGCAACGCGTACTCTAAGCTTGTCTACAAGAAACTCCCGAGGGCCAAGAAAATCAAAATCTCAAGGGGGATGCAATATGATCCAACAATGGGGCGCCAGAGGATCGGAGATCTTTTTAATTGGTTGAAAACTGCATTGCTAGCCGCGAAAACAACATTTTTCAAGTGGAATAGAGAAAGTAGTCTGAAAGATAACGATCGTGTGCCGGTTGATCTCGAAACTTCTGCAGACGATGCAGCTTTCCAGGACTTTGAAGAGGACGCTTTGGAGGGAACAATTGATTGGACGTTCGAGGCTGTGAAAATTGAACGAAAGGGTGCCGAGGAAACGTTGGATCCGTTTAAAGGAGTGCAAGAAAATAAATTGTTTAGAATTGGCCTGGATAGGTATAAGGGCATTTTACGAGAAGATGAAGGAAATCGACAGCTGGGTTTTGAGCGTTCAATGAAGAGACGAATGGGTGGTGGTGCGGAAAACCGCGTAATTTCGGACTTTAACGGCAAACTGCAAAAAGTTGGCTTGTACAAAACCTTGAAGTTGGACGTAGAGAGCGTGAAACGAAGGCTTGACGTCTGCATAGATCGGTTGAACGAAATAATCGAAGACGTTTCCATAATTTGTTCAGCTTTGCATCTGTTGGACGGCTTAAAGAATTTCAAATAAAGGAAAATTGCGTTCAGGCTTCGAAAGATAGGGGGAACATTTTTATTGATTTTTACAGCAGGCTGAAATTGAAAGAAACGCTAGAAAATGGCTGAACATTATTGATTTTATGAACTGCGTCATTATTCGTGTTTTTTTATTGCTTGGTTAATTGACTTACTGTTTTGTTTTTTTTAAATTAGAGTCTAATTATGAGACTATAAGGATAAGCGACTAAAAAAAGTCGAACGACTCAAAACGCCATCTCTTGGTACTAGCAATAAGCTAAATGTAGGGATACACTGACACCAGTAAACACGTTTGTTGGCAAAATAGTAACTTGAAAAATTCCCTAAACCCGGAGTAACTTCAAGTTACACGATCCAAGTGCTGTTCTCATATATGGCAGGCAACTTTTTAATAAAATTGTGTATGTTGTCATACATTGCAATCTAATGGAACCGATGTAAAGTCGATGCACGTCAAAATGCATGAGCGTTTATTGTTTACCGAGGCCTACGGTAGAGAGAAGGAAAAGTTCTTCGTCAAGTCCAAAGGTATCTATGTTTTGATCCATTAAATGTCACGTTGAACGGCACACCTAACCTATCTTTGTGTTTGTCTTACATGGTCCTATAGATGAGCAATCGATAACTGAACTGCTGTCAGATACAACTAGAACAAAATCTATTTATGCTAGTACCGTATCAATTATCAAGGAGGTAGTTTTACCCCAAGGGTATCCTGACAGCGTCCATTCGGATTATACACAATACCAAATATGGGACACTGTACAGGTTACTTTATAGAGCAATTCATCCAAATCACTGTCCCTCTGTTTTTTGACACAGAAAATATCGTCACCGTTACATTTTTATTTATGTTTAACCATGCAATGTTTTATTTCTTTGGCAGTCATTAGTTCCAGAAGTCTGTTCATTTTATATTTGCGTTAACGCTAATATTTACGTGTTCATTGTTATACTATAATGTTTTATTTTTCAGGCATTCGCAAGTACTATACTGAGTATTATGACAACACATTCTATTATGCAAGGTGTAGGTGTAGGTGAACCTGAAGCAACACCGTTGGCCGCAGCGATCACGTGGGTATTAAAAGATGGGGCTGGAATGATCGGTCGTATCGCATTCGCATGGCGGAATGGGTAATTCAAATTATTCAAATACAATTAACTAGTTTGCGCAACTATTGTATAAGAACAGTTTGTCCTTTATTTATCAGGGCAGATTTTGACAGACAGTGTAAAAAATGGAGGCTTTTTGCAGACGTTCTTAATGATTTAGCAATGGGAATAGAATTACTCTTACCTTATTACTCTTCCTATTCTCTTGCAATATTGTGTGTTTCGATGGTAATGAAATCAATTGTTGGTGTTGCTGGTGGGGCAACAAGGGCAGCTATCACACAGCATCAGGTATAATGGTTCTGAAATCAAATTTATTTATTATTAATAGATAAATTTGATTTATTCGGAATATATATTGCAGGCATTAAAAAATAATTCTGCAGATGTCTCAGCCAAGGATGGTAGTCAAGAGACATGTGTAAATTTAATAGCATCATGTGTTGGAATCTTAATGCTCTCTACTGTTCATATTGGCAGGTAAATGTGCAGTTAAATATATTTAGTATTGTTTAAATAAGAATGGCGCGCGATCTTATGATAAGGAATAATATTGTTGATGTACCTATAGTATATATATAATCTGCATGTAGATACATAATGGAACTCTATCTCTTTCTGGTGGCAGTACATCAATACGCCAATTACGTGGCTGTGAAATCTCTACGTTTAAATTCTTTAAATGAAGATCGATATGCGTTAATAATCAAAAGTTACGTAACCAACGAAGTCATTCCTGAACCTGAAGAAGTTAATAGAAATGAATCAGTATTATTATTCTCAAAACCTAGTAAGAGTAAACTTGATTTTAGTGTTACACCGTAAATAGATGGATGAAAATTGTTGTCTCTATCAATTATTTTTTACAGCAATGAACATGTGTGGGTTTAACATAAAAATGGGCGTGTCTCTTGCCACTCTTATAAAGAAAAATATTATTTCTACAAGTGATATTGACCTATCATTAAAACTCTTTTTAGATAGGAAATATTTGATTGCCATTGACATAGAGAATAGGACTATTTTTATATGTTTTAAAAAGGATGCGTCAGCTTCGGATGTTTTGGAAGCGTATTTACACGCTTGCTTTTGTGGTTTCTTCATTTGTATGTCTCTCAAAGTGCCACTCGTAAGTAACATACGATCACTTTTTATTTCATGTATGTACATACATTTAAAAGTATTTTACATTTCAAGGATCTCTTCTTAAAACCAGAAGTAAGTGATATATCGTATCCTCTATTGCGCCTTTACGTGCTTAGTAAGAAATACTCCATTGCAAACAATAGCGCGCAGTCATCAAAAGCAATAGAAAGCATTTACGTTACTAATTTGTTGATTTCTGGCGAATACAAAGCATTTATTAGCGGCCTTGAGAGTAAAGGTAAGTTTTATCCTATGAGATAAAAATTGTACATCTTTTCTTTTGTATTAATAGATATACTTCTTCTAGGGTGGGTTACGGAAACTAATTTGTTACCCGTAGCGTCATGGAGATTTTTATAAAGAAATGGTAAAAGAAAGGCGAAGCATGATCATTAAACATATTAAATATTGTTGCTCCTTTCTCGACATTATTTGCATATCTTGTAACTATCTGTTGGCGATGAGATAAAATTATCTATAAATATTTTCTTACAAATTTTTATCACAGGTGATTATAGTATAGTAAAACTGATACGGAAACCAGTTTATTTCCAATAATTTATAAAAATATAACACGCCTTTAACCTGTACAAAATTTCTTGGTTGAAGAAGTTGAACTAAGACTCTTGCTCTTGTTTAGGACCAGTTTGTGATAAATGTTTCACTATGTCCACCCAATCCCATCCTCGAGGTCTTTCTCCTTTTCCATCGGCTTTGTTCCACTGTCTACGTTTCTGGGCTTTACTCAGGTGTTCTTTCTTCGGTTTCTTTGTTGTCTCTTCAGCCTACACGCAATAAATTTGTTCTTCGTGCATCTTAATTACATTTTATCTGATTTAAAAAAAGAAGCTATATTTACCTGTTGTTTTTCTTCTGTTATTTTAAGCTTGCTAGCCTGTGTATTAAGATCTACAGATTCCGGTTGTGCAGAAATCAGTTCAAGATAATGCTCTTGAACTGATTGAAATAATGTGTAGGTCATGGCACTTCCGAGCCACTGGTCAGCCTCTGCTTCCACGAGTTTCATCACATTGTCTTTAACTTCTTGTACACTGTATTCCAATCATTCACCTTTAATAAAAGCAACAGAATGCAAGAATAGTCAAAGAAAAGCGTAGCTGGACTTACATGTGCTTGTTGTAAAACGTGTTCATATTAATGGAAGGTTTCTCCGATGGATATGTTGAGCCCCATATGATCTCCAATAAGAACGATTTCATATCGTTATCCTCTCCAAACTGTGCATGTAATGATCGTTATAACATCCGAGTGCATAGCAATCGAGGTGCCATAGTATGCCAATAAATCAAAAATACATATAAACGCGCTACGGATCGCGATTACAGTGAAACACAGGCGAAAGCAACGAAGATGAAAATAGAATCGTTACATTGTACGGTCTTGAATATCTTAATTCTGATATATCAAACAATATGTGAAAGAAATTGATATTATTTCGGCGCACAGACCTTGTATTGAAATGTGGTGGGTGTCAGCTGTTTAAAAGCCGTATCTCCGTCGTATATCGACAAAAGTACTTCTCTTTCCTCTTCTTGAAGTTCGGCATCGCTCATTTCCCTTCTTCAACCTAAAATTTTGCTAGCCCAATATTTTTTATACGCGCACTGTTCATGCGTACCTTCGAGGTTAAAAAAACAGGTAGACGCAGCTGTTAGGTCGATCGTGCTGCCCCGGTTACATCATTCGCGCCACGCTCAAAATTCAAATCACGACCGTTACAATACGTTGCAAAACAGTGAAATTAAACGGTCTATCAGAACATCTGACCCCGAAGTACATTTATTTCACCAAATCTTATCAATACTTCGCAATCGAGAACATTTTTCACCGTGAAATGATAAAGAAGATAATAAGTGACTGTAGCAACAGAACTGTAACGGTTGTTGCGTCGTCCACGCGACTAGATGGAGTCACAGTTCAGTTACAGGAGTTTCACGACTATTCGAATTCATATTTGGATCAAACAGGGTTTCGTGTTTGGTTATTGGAACGAAGGAACCGTGTCGGTGGTGTTTAATTAATTACTGTCTTGATTGCAGGAGATTATGGAACTTGGTGGCGTTCCAGACAACGTACAACGAGAAGGAACAGAAATTCAATGAAAGAGAAGCGTAAGGAGTAGGATAAGGATGCTGAGGCGATCAGTAACTTAACACTGGCAAGGCGCAGGCATTTCCCGCGTTATCAGCGCTCTGTACAAGGAAACGCCGCGGACCTGTACGGACCTGTACGGTTGGCCGTATGCCATGGCGGTGAATACCGGCCGATGTTACAATGTGTTCGAGAGAGAAATGAAGTGAAAAGCGGATAGCAGACGGGGGTGAGAGGAAAACTCGAGGGAATGGAACAAAAAAAGAGCCGGAGTACATACTAGCCCGAGTAGCGAGCCGCGGATTAATGTGAGTTTCCACTCCGCGTACCCCAGCCTAGCATTTACACGAACATCAGTTCCTGACCCCGTTCTCCCTGTTTCGTTTAAATTTCTCTCATCGCGGCACGACTGTATCGGGAATCGAAGAATGCACCAGTTGTAACGACGCATCATCGGCTTCCTGTCGGTGGAATTTTTCATTCTCGTTTCGCGCGATACGCCATCGATGCCGGTTACATTGGCGGCCATTTTTTCTACCCTTTTTTATACACTCGACGATAAAACTATCTCGCGGACCTCGATATCGGCCACCGGCAGCGAACATGTTGGTTATGATCACAGAAATATTTTTATTCGTTTCTTTCACCGTTCCGAATACCGAAATCCCTGTACGCGGCACTCTAATTTTAGGACTAAATGAGTCAAGTTGCGTCATAGTACGCGCCAATAATAAATGGGTCGCCATGTTGGTTCTTCTGGGTGCTGCGTGTAGCATAAGAGGATGACCCTTCTAAGATCGTTGACGATTAAATAATTTGTGATTCTCTTAAGAGGTAAAGTACGAAAACATCTATTGTATATTTTTTATTATGATTCATATATTTTATTATGATTCTTTCTTTTAAATAGGTATCTTTTTAATTACTATTATGTAATGGCTAAGATTAAGTGGATTCTACAAATATAACCTCCACGTGATCCTGAACACTAAAAATGAATGGAAATAGATTAGAAAATTGCTAGGACTTTAGGAAAGTGTAGCTTGGATTATTTTGATGTTAATGGCACATTTTTCATTTAAAATACAATCAAATTGTTAGGAAAAAATCGCAGATCAAGTTTTGGCATATCATTATAAAGAGCAGATTTGCCGTTATAAGATCATATTGAAAGGAATGTATACAAAAATATTTGTGAACTCTGCAGATTCGTCGTTTGCACAATTTCAATATCATAAGAAAGGATCTCAGAAGACTACAGTCTTCAAAATTAGCTCCAGCTACTGTTGCAATTTTGCGATTCTTTAATATTGTTTTTATTATTGTTATTTATTATTATATTTTATTATTATTATTTATTATTTATTTATTATTGTTTTAATACTGTTTATATATGTTATTTGATGCGCTCTGGCTAAATAAGACGCTCAGCATAGATTTGCAAAAATAGTAAATTCAGTACATAATAGTATTAATATTTTTATAGAGGGGGAATCAGTGCCGGCAAAGGATGCTCGACGGGTGCAAACGGTCGATTAAAAGAAAAATCAGGATCGCGTGCGTGCGCGGTGGCGATGAATAATTGGATATTTGGTCCGGGGGCTGTCGTGCGGGCCGAATTCGTAGAAGAGGAGCGCGTCCTGCGCGAAATACAGGTGCGTACACGCGATATAATCCACGGTATTTCAGGGAATGGTCGCCGAATTCGGCGAAGCCCGCTTTTGCGGTGAACGCGGCGAGAGGGTTGGCGTGACTTACGCTCGCCACGTGTCCGCGAGTGCGTTTGCGAAACGACTGGCTCGATCCGAGCTCGTTTGTCCCGACCGATCGACCATCGATCTGCTTAAGTAACAGACCGTAGATCTCTCGTTATCGCCCACTGAGTTCTCGGTAACCGAGTCACTCGCGGTGACTGCGGAAAGATGGAATGGGGGTACATGGGACGATCAGACCTTCTCGGGGGCCATTTTTTTTAAGGACTCACCGAGATCGCTGCTACGTGCAAAAATTCTTATATGAAAATCTTACTTACCTGACATTATTGAGTCAGAACAATTTACCAATTGTAAACTTTTTTCCTTTTTCATTCATTTATGTTATGGAAATGTGGATTGACATGAATAGCAATTATTTACTTGTTACACTGCCTAAGAATTTACAATATGAGTACAATATGAGTTATATTATATTATGTCACTATTAAGGGGTGTTTAAGTTAATCTATTCATCAAGTTCAAGGGAGTGTGTAATCTCCGCTTTCACAATCGTGGCAAATATAAAAATGTATTGCATTAAATTTTACTTGATTTGTTGGTAGTATATAATTCAATGCGAACAACAATATTCTTTATCTTCTTTGTCACTGGACTTCATTCCTCTTCTTATAGGTGAAAAAGTTGCTGAAAGAGTTCTCTCCTTACAATTTCTGTCCTATATTTTTCTTCACTCTTTTCTCTTGCTTTCCCTTATATCTTGGGCTTTCCTTAGAAATATTGATATTTACCTGAAACATCCTTCTCTTTTTATCCTCGTGCTACCACGCTTTTCTCATTAAATTGTGAATTCTAATTACTGGAATGCTTAAAGTATCATCAGCATCATTTAATGCTCTTAGAATGTGATAAACTTTAACATTTATAGTATAATTAAAGTAAGTACTCAACATTTACAATATAATTGGTGTCTTGGAACAGACACATCTTCCCTCGAGATCTATCACACGCCATAACATGCCAATTGAAATTCGTAATTGAAAAGTAAATAGTTCGTTGCAACTCTTCAGCTACAATTGGTGCGAGCATCGCTACGAGTGGTTACCAGCGCAACGTTCCAAACGATCCCATAAATCTACAAGTACCTGGAGAGCGACAAGAACTTGCAGTAGATGAAACATCGGTGGACATGCAACTGGACTGGGCATTCAAATCGAGATTCTGATCGGCGATCGGCGGCTGTAGCCGGCTCGTCCGGCGGTATGTAAATTCGGGCGGCGGTATAAAGTGCTTCACCCAGTATACGCGGTCGTAATGAGCCTGCCCCCCTCGCGATAGAGACAATAATAATAACAAGAGCAAAGCAAGATGAGGGAGGCGCCGCGGTGTCGCGAGTGCATTGATCACAAAGAATCGCCTAGGTGCCCGTGATTCAGAGTAGCGGCTGCCTCCCTCCGCTTGTAAGTGGCTCTACGTGGCCGGCCCTCTCTCTAGTCCAAGCCCGGGTAGCTCATGAAACATGGATCGAGAGTCGCCCTGGAAGAAGCTGCGGGAAAGAAGCCGACCGCCTGCCGTGCGCTCGCCGATCATCACTGTTAGCGATGGGACCAATACCCTCGCGCACGGGCTACCGATATCTCTCGGTAGCCAGGACAGCCGCGATCCTCTCCTCGGCCGTAGGAATTTCGCCAGCTGCGGCGGCGGCTAAATCAAAATTGACGGTGGATCACTTAGCATCTGATCGATGCGCGGCGGCCCACTCGAAGCGGATGCATCACTCGAACCGGGAGCGGATTCGGAGCGTAATAGCCTGGCAGAAAGCTGGCACCGAGGGTTGGCGCGCGGATTGTTGTTGCAGGGCCTGGGATGTACCGAACAGGGATTCGAAGTCACGAGAACCGTGGAAATTGGAATTAGGCGAGCGTACACAGGACGGGGAATTATGGGGGAGAGCCCGTGCACACGCGGAGACGTACGAAAATAGAGATATGGAGATGCGGAATTGAAAGGGAGCCTTGGAGAAACGGTTCGGTACACCGAGCCCGTTCGATAAAAACCCGAAAATCGGGGACACGGGAGCGCCGAAATTTCGAAATCTCGCCGAGTGGGAAATTCGGAAAAGGTGGTTGAACGAGAACGCGCCGCGGATCCCCCGGAAATATGGAAATACGTAACCGCGGAATTGCGAGTTGTAAATACGTATGCAAATGCCGCGAGCGTTTTAATTGGGGCTGCTGGAAACGCCGATGGATCGTTTTAAAGAAGCACCGCGGAGGTGTTGGGCGGCTCCGCGATCGGTCCCATCACTAATCACCGATGCGACCACGCGGCTAAGTCCCCTTCGACCAGCACCGGTGCTCGGCCACGCAAGAAAAGCTTCCTGGCGCTGTTGGATTCACGGAAATTAGTGCCACCGCGATGCTTCCCCTGAACATTACTCCGCACGCCGATATGCATTATGCAAAACCGAGAACTACCGCGTCGTAATTGTATCGTTTTGATAAGTAAGCTCGCGCGAGAACCACGCTGCCGTTCCACAACCCATCCCCCTCATTCGCTGTCTCTTCTTTTCTTGCGATTACCCGCCGCCAGTAATTGTACTGGGTGATTCAGAAACGCTTGCTGGGGGGTGGTGGCGTTCGCTTAATTACATCTGTTAAATCTATCTGAAATAATAGAGCGCCGCGATCGCGAATTCGAACATCGGGAATATCTGTTTATTTTCGAAAAACGAAACTTTTAATTTCTAATGCTTCTATTCGATTATTCGTCACGCTTTCGAATTAGAGGAATTTTAGATCTACTTAATTTCTAATGTTCCTCTTCAATTATTTGTCACGCTTTCGAATTCGAGGAATTTTAGATTCTCTTCATGGACGTTGACATATTGTATGTGTGCGCTGAATACTTTTCAGATTGAAATTATTCTGAGTAAGGAATATAAAAACCTGTTCGAATAAGACGTGATCGAACGAAACATTAGATTACTTTCGTTTACTTTAAAAAGTGGTCCCTGAAGAGTTTACTGAATTTTTAAACAAACACGTAAATCGAAACAAGACACCTGGGACAAGGTAGATTATATTGTTATTATTTATACGTTCATTATTATTGTTCTAATGATACACTTTCAAAATTAGATAAAACTCTGAAAGGTAAAGTAACACAGGGAAGAAAAATGGAAGGCCATTTGTATTCATTACATAGGAACCATTTCGAATTCCCGTTAATTTTCTGTAATCGCCGTTAGAACAAGTCTAATTCCCGAGAAATGTTCGTGGAAATTCATTTGAAATTTCGTATTAACCATTTGCAGTCGACTGACGACACTAAAACACAATTAAAAATTGTTATGCACCGTTTCGAAATAATGATCGAATTGTTTCGTAATTAAAAAACTGCGAAAAGCTTAACTACATACTGCGCGAGTCGCAAAATTCGTTTTCACAGGAACAAGAAACACCGGTTTATACGGCTCGAGTTAAAATGGCTCCGGCAGCAAAGAGTTAACATTCTAAAGTTAAATACGAACAGAAGAAACGTGTTACAATGCTGAATTTAATTTAGATCGCTGATAATGGCGACTGAGCCGTTCCAGAGTGACCTTGCACTTTAGTTTCGCCGACTTAATTTCAGTTAACGGTATCGCGAACAAAACCTCGTCGGCGCTGTTTGCGAACGTGCGAAGTCTCATTGAATCCGTAATATCGGCCATTGTAACAGCCGTAACGAATTTTACGAGCTGCCGGCGTGCACCGTATATCGAGAGTGCATTAGAATGGGACCGTGTAAAAGGCTTAACTAGATTTATTAACGGGAACACCGGTATAAACACCGGTAATCGTGGCACGTTTACAATGTACCGTGTTCACCGATCCGCCGTTAGGGAACACGTTTATTAATAAACGGTCGAAGATTATTACACTCGCGCCGCGATTATTTCATCGCATTAGCTCCTGCCGAATAGCTGGCTCTGCAGTTCATTCACCGAGCCAGCTTATGCCAGCTGAAACACTGCGGTTCTTTATTTCACGAAGCGTGTTTATGCATTTTCAGACATTGCCAAAATCTCGTAAATAGAACGTTGAAAACAATTAGACTGTTGAACACTTTTTTAAATTAATAAGTCATCTAGGAAAAGTCAGCAATTTTTACGTTCTTATACATTCTCCTATTTTATTAGCAAAAATTGAGTATAAGAGAACTGTTTTACAAAATTAATTATTTGCATATTGTAGAAAAAGTCGTACAAAATTTTAGAAAACAGGATATACTGAAAATGAATTTACAAGAAATGTCAAACAAGTTATTTTGTCCCCTCTTCGCAGATCCAGTGTCACATAAAATCTGATAAAAAATTGTCCAGAGATTTTCCGGGACAGACGTTAATTTCGACAGCGCCGCGGATAATTTTGCGTAAAGGGTCAGCGAATCGGTTATTGAAGTACATCGATGTCGGAATCGAGGCGAATGATTTACAAATGATCGAAACGATCCCCGAGTTCACGGCGCCCTGATGGCTCCATAATTTCTATCATCGCGACACGCTCTCGTATAATTCACAGTTGCGAACTGAATCGCGATTCGTTTTACTTTCGACCGGCAAAAATATTCTCCCCATTTCCAGCGGAATCCGGCCAGATTTCTCGTCGCATGCTTGCCAATCGCCATTAAAGTCCCCGCGGATTTCCAACTTTCATCGAAGACTCTTCCAAGCTTTCTGTATCTAATTTCTTAATGTGTAGCTTCCTCCTCCAATCAGTCTTCCAGTTACACGCCGCCCGCCTCGTTCTGGCTTTCAACGTAATTACGCCGCGCCGCCGAGGCAAGAAAGGACGATGCGATTTGCGCATCCACGTCGCGACAAATATTTTATCAGTCGTTATCAACCCGATGCTAACACGCGCGCGCGCTCGCTCTATTCCGCGGTTTTTCGAGATTTCGTCGCATTCGTCATCCGCGTGGTCGGGTGTTGCTTTTTCTTTGTTCTAATTACGGGATGGGGCGCGCGTATTTCATCCGCAATATCGTCCGCGAACGTTCTCGGCTGGCCCAAATCCCCTGAAACATCCTTCGCTGGCTTCCTCAAACAGCATCATCCGCCCCTAATTGCGGTCCGCATATTTCATCCCCGGACAAATATTTTCCCCGGCCACACCGCGGGTTCGGACGCCCAGAAAGATGCATTTTCGTAAAACATTTGCCGTTTCCTCTTTGAACTCGTGGAAACGGCTGCCTCGGTCTTGATTGCCCGTCCACCTGTACCAAATATTCCCCACGGAAAGAGATGCATCTCTTAAAAGCGTCCTCTGTTTGAGCGGAAACGGGTCTTTATTATCCATCGTTTGTTATAGCTTTATTATAGGTTTATTAATTAACCATGTTGCAGAGAGAGACGCGGTAACGAGGGAAGAAACGAACTCGAATGAAATGAAGTTGTTTGTTTCAAATCACTTCCAGCATTCCGGGTCTACATTAAGAAATGTGATCAGCTTGAATTGTTTTATGCACGATGTATGCACGTACGTATCTCTTGAAAGTAATTTAAATACTTAAGTGAAATTTAATGTCTTACGTTATTTTTACTCGTCGAACGGTTATATAAAGACACGTCCAACGTGACGCGGGAAACGCTCGCGGTAAACGTTCAAGGAAACCTTTAAAATGATACTATCGGACTAGTCTATAATCTCCTGTAATTCTTGTAAATCTTCTACATTTTTCAGATTTTAATCGAACTATGAATTCTACGAGAACGACGAGTAGCTGTGACGTCGAACGTCAGTAGAAAGACTATAGGAGTCGAAAAACAAGACTGCTGAAATTGCCGAAGGAAGGAGGAAATTCTCAAGTAGCTACCGGAGCCTTGCAACAGATGCAGGAAACTTCTACTTTGCATAATGATCCGGAGCCCAGCAATTCCAGCGGAAAGATGACCTTTTACATTCATTATAAACCGTGATCGTCATCTTCCTGTCAGCTTCTTGCAAAATAAGGCGTTAACGTCCAGTCGCGAAAGTGTCGTTTTGATTTTTTCGTTTTTTTTTTTTTTTTTGAAAAATCCTCGCGACACGAAACTGTTCTCGAACGGTTGATCGAGGAACGGTGTCTCGTAGGTGTCCATCGCTACCGATTGCTCTCGTCGAGAAGACGCCGACGACGCAGAAATCGATCGGCTGGAGGGGGGAGGGCAGGCCAGAGCGGGGTGTTCATAGGAAAGAAAAAGGGAGAAATTGATCGGCCACGGTGTGCGTGGCCGGCTCGTTACAAAATACTCGATACTCACGGGAGGTCGGCTTTCGTTCGAAACGGCTCTATCTTCATGCGAAACCAGAGAGCCGGGTGGCTACGCGACCATAAATGGGTGATGTACGATGTAACGATCTCTTCACTCTCTCGTCCCGACATCACAATTAGCCATCTACGTAGACACGGCTACGAACTAACAAACCGAACGAACAAACTGTCGCCGCTCGGTCCGGCTGCCGTTCACCGAGGAATTGCGTTCGTTCAATTAACGACAGACTCGATTAACCGTACCCACCGCTCCCCCCCCCTCTCTCTCTCTCTCTCTCTCTCCGTTCTCTTCCCATGGCGAACAGGCTGACCAGCACGAATATAAATTAGCGACTTCAATCGATTGTTTGCCCCGGGGCCCGGAGTGATCGGGGAAGTGTCCCGGCCCGCGGATCCGGAAAACCCTGCGGAACGAGGATACCGTCGGTTCACGCACGTTTTTTTTCCAACGATTTAGCGCTCGTAGATCACAAGATTTCTCGTTTGCAAACGGTACAATGTGTCGAGCTGTTTTTTTGAGGGATTAAGAAGTTGCGAAACCGTGCGTTCCCGATTCCGGGAGAGCGCGCGGATTCGAGAGAGCTCGCCGAGAGACTTTTAGTCCGCTGGACGCATCAATTTTTGATCTCGATCCGTTTTAACATTGAACGCGTAGCCGTGCACTAGAAGTGATTGATGTACGCCGTTTGAGTGAATTCGCAACGTACCTTTATAACGTTGTTGATTGTTAAATAAAATACCTGAAACGAATCGTTTCACTGTGGTTCGGAGTTTAGTTCGCAGATAGATTTTGAACTTATGCATTACAAATGTATTATTGTTTCTAGTATTCAGAATTGCGTGGTGTTCAAGCGTGATTCTCATGGTTCAAGGCGAAAGAAAATTTTTCTATAATCTACAGTCTGTGAGAAAAAATTTCTGCGTGTTGGGAATTAATGATTTCAGTGCTGACTGAACTGAAAAGGTATAATGGAAGACCTGCTTTTTACTAATATGTTTACATCGCATTGCATTTATATTATAAATCATGAACACTCTATTACACATTGTATCGTTCATCAATGAGCTTCGATAAGCTGCAACAAATGGATCTAATTCCAGTATCAGAAATTTCTTGTTTTTTCATAGATTACGGGATGTCGCAACAGACGAATAATTTTAATTGCGATAAGGATCGAAAAGAACGTGTTTTCATGGCAGACAAGCATCGACTTCTCCCGGGATTTATGAAAAGGGGAGGCACTATTCGAACTCTGCTCAATTTGCGAACGCTGCTCCCTTTGATGTTGCACTTCCCGCAGGACAATCCTATTGAAAATCGCTGTCTGCCGTTGAAAAGCCCGTGAAATGTCAAAAGTGCGGTGCCAAAAGCGACGGGCCGTTACTCGAAAATTTCAGTTCACGGGATAGCATTTTATTCCCCGACGAGTTTTTTTCTTTCACCCTATTATGCGCCCGCGAGCTCGCGCTCCCGTCCGTTTTCTGCGCGTTCAATTACAAAAATATCCTGATCCGGTTTAAAGTTCGACCGCGCGGCTCGGAACAGCCCGCGCGGACCGTGGAATTTGATGTTCATTTGCTGAAAAATCAAATTCCACGTATTCCAAATATTCCATATTTATCAGACGTGTATTGCCTTCTTGTTCAGTCTGCTTCAGTTTTTTTTTTTACTGAATCGTGGAACGCGTTTAAACAATCGAGACGCGAGAATTAACTCCGCGAATCTTCCAAAAGCTGACCCATTAATCGAACGAAAACCTCGAACAAATGAATTACAATAAAATATAACGTACGTAGACCATTGCTCGAGCTTTCCATCCAAATTATTCGTGATCAGTTTACCACGCCAGGATTGCAGTTGTTTTACGAACGCGTATTAATTATGAAGCTTCCCCGACGGGGTGAAAATGCGGTAAAATTAACGAAAATGCGGGTAATTATTCGGAGTTGTAAAAATGGCGCAGCTTATCGATATTAGAGAACGCAAAGCAGAACGAGGATTATAATTGTCTTCGCAGAAGCGGCCCCCGAGGCATTTAATTAAAATCGCACCTGTGCTTTCCGTGTGTTTTCCCTTTCGAAACTGCAATATTCGTCGCGACGGTGTTACATAGCGTGACGAGGGCACATACATATATTACACGGGGGCACATACGAGATGTTTGTTCAAACAATACGGTGAGACCTAGAATGATTCGTACATACTTGGTAAAGGAGAGCGTTAATTGCGGGCTTCGCAAAAGTACGTTCTACGCTTTTCCTTGCACAACAAGTATGATATATGTAATTTCTTAATAGCTCGTGCTAATATTTTTGCGAGCTTCAAAAAACCACGCATATGGTTTTTCATCGTAATAAATCTCAATATTCTTTCGATATCGTTTATCGGTTTTACGGATGCAACGGGAAATGCGCTAAAAATCTGTTCGCAGTGCGTTTCGATTGGCACCTTTTCTTCTCACGGTGCGCAACGAACTCCGAAAACGCGCAGTGAAAACCAGTCTCCCCGAGATTGTTTATGAAAGGGCGAGAGTGAGTCGGCCTGTAATTGACCCTTTACGGGCGCAAACAGCGCGACAAGGACAGAAACGAGACCGGCCGATCGGAAGGAAGGATCGATCGGGTCGGTAAATAATTCAATCTTCGAGCCACTCAGCCGATTCGTAGAACCGATAAAAACTTGTCCACAGTTTCTTCCGTCTTTGCGGCCGGCTTGTCGGTAATAAAACAGAAGAAAAAAGGAACGGGAGCGAGTGGCAGGGGGAGGGGAAAAAAACGAGCAGAGGAGGCCGGGAGCAATCGGGAGGATTGAAAACCTGGCTCGGACTCAATACCCGGCGCGCGGGTACCCCGCGACCCGGAAAAACCGGCGGTCGCGTGTTGCGCGAGGCCAACGGGAGGAAACAAAAGCAAAGGAGTCGCCGGACAAATGTGACGCTGATAGTTACACGGGACCGGCAATAAAGGGGGGTTCGGGGACGTAAAAGCGTGCCGTGGACAAGTCTATCGATCGATCCTCCGCTGGGAACTCTGCGATCGGCTCCGCCGATCCTCTCGGTGCTCGAGACCCTTTCTGGAAATCGCTCGAGGAATGGAAACCTGCGTACCGGGATCCTGCCCCGGTCGAACAAGCATCCCCGAACAATCCTTTCATTTTTATGCAACGCCGGATCGCTCGCTGATGGATCGGCCCTATCCGTGCCGAGTCGGAACCCTCGGTTTGATATCGAGATGCTCTTCTGGGATCGCCGTCACGCCCGGCGATAGCGTGCCGTTACTTGCCGCTGATTTATGGAAATGGGAAGTAATTTTCGAATCTATGCTAATTCGTCGGGAGGATCCATCGTTGGGGATTCTTCTGTGCTATCTTGAGAGGCCCGCGTTGATCCCGGTGGTCAGATCTTGCGGATCGAGGAGGCGAATCTTGGGCAATACTTGCGCAAAGGTGTTTGCAAAAATCTTTGAGAAATTGAACTGGGTATATTGAGCTTATATAACTGAGTGTATTGATATATACTCTATGCATCGAGTTATTTCGAACGAGGATAATCGTCCTTTTTCTGATCTAGTCTTCCGAATGACTAGGATTGATTCTATATAATAATTATTAGATTAATTGACGAATAGTGATTTTGATGGGTCTTTTATGCAAAGTGAAAGTTCTCTGTGCGTCAATTGCTAGAAACAGTACTTATGTGAAAACTGTTCTGAACTGTTTAAAATAGTTGATAATTAGACAGGATGCATGTATGACGAGAATGGATAGGAGAAATTTAAAACACTGAAAATATTTAAAGAATTTAAGGACATCTGGGTATCATTTTCAATTCATTGAAATAATTACAGAAAGGAAGAAACTTCTGTTTAATTTATAATTTATATAGTGATCAAGATTTTACGTAAACATCCTCGATCTATTAATAATAATAATAATAATAATAATAATCCAGTGGTACTTTTGGATTTCCTCTAACTTCTCTATCTTTCACTATTCATTTCTTATACACGATGCATAAATACATTAAATCTGCATTTTAGTAATAATAAGAAAAGGTTAAAACAATATCTTGTGACCATTTCCCATAAATTTTGTTCCCAAGTGCGTACTAAATCAATGCGGTACGATAAATCTTCTCGAGTTCTAAAAAGAGAACAAGATCTTGTATCGGTGTTTAAATGAAAAAACGTATTTCTGGAACGAGGAACGTGGCAGCGAACGTTTCTCTTCCGGAAGATCGATTTTATGCGAATTGGAGCAGCGACTCATTACCGGAGCCAATTTTTGATAATTCGAAGCGCGCTCGCGTTACGCGGACGGGTGAAAGTTCCCACGATTTTTCTCCGGGAACCATTCAGACGAACCTTATTGCGCAATCCCAGCTATCGGGACAGGACATCGCGAAATTCCCATGAAATTTTCTTCTGCATCCACGGGTGTCTCGTCGCCCAGGGCGCTCGGAAGACAGCGTGGACGGGAATCGAGGCTGATACTTCCGATCCCGTGTTCCTCCGCGACGCGATAAACCGAAAGTGGAGTTTAACAACGGCTCCGGAAGAAACCGTGGCCGAGCAACTTTGTGATCCGGCGACTAATCTCCCATCTAAGCCTTGAACGGGGTCCTTTTCGATGCCCCGGGCCGGGAACGATCGAAAACGAGATCCGATCTTACCGGCGTACCTCTCCTCGGTTCTCGAACACGGTTTCGTTTTAACGTTGTCAGCGGCTACAAGCGGCCGAAAGGTAAGGGCTCGTGATTATTAAGAGAACGGCGCTTGCTTCGCAATTTATCAATTCATGCGAATTTGTATACCAAATGTTCGCAGGCTATTTTACGGAGAGACATGCATTGATTTCGTTGATCACGAAATTCTCCGTAGAATAATTAAGCGATTCAATCTTGGACGATTTTTCACGATTTTATACCAAATTTATGATAGATTTACTCGAATCCTTGCAGATTAATTTTTTTTCTACGCACTTCCGAATATACGTCGTCATGAGAAATTAGAATTTAATTATGATATTTGCAGCATGGACGCGATCTAAACGATTTCGTGAATTTTAAAAAATTGTGCAGGTAACAGTAGGTCTGGAACGATAAAGGTCTGGTTCTAATTCTGAAAACACGGTCAAAATAATGAGTATGAGTTTTAGTCGGTCAATCATGCTTTTTATTTTGCGAAGATAATAGCGCAAATGTACGAAGCAATTAATTTGTAGTCGACAAGATAGACGAACAAGTTGCCGAAATATGAGCAAAAAAGCGAGATCTTCAATGCAAACTTGAAACAAAAGCGTGACAATAAATTAGACGAATTCTTGCCGAACGAAGATATCTTTCCAGAACTGTAGATTTTCGAAAAAGTGCCAGACAATTTTTAGACGCCGTACTCGAGCAACGTTTCGCGAAAGATTGCTAAATACTTGGAGCATTTTTAACAGGAAGCTTCAAGCTTCGACAGAGAATCGTCGGGAACGGGTGGAAATAGGTGGAAAATCGGCTAATGGCAATTGGTTCTTCCCAGTGGTTGTTTTCGTCCTCCGTAACGCGCGTGCTCATTTTCGTTTATCTTCTTTTTTTCTTTTCTATATTCATTTCTCTCCGCTCCGACGATCGGTGTACGGGGAAACATCTGAAAAGATGAGTTTCGCCGGTGTCCCCATCCTATGCAAACATCCCGGGCTATTTGTACGGTGTACCGCATCTCAATGGAAACGTTATTCTATTTCGAAATCATTTTACTTGGTAATACGATTTTCTGTTTACCTCGGTTTCTTTCGGACCCGCGAAATTGCGCATGAAATTTCGCCTCTCTATAAGGCCGTCACACGGCCGTTCGTTCGCCTATCATAATCCCTAGACGCGCGACTTCCAGTTCGGCAGACGTGAAATTTATGAACTCCGAGCCCGTTTCCAACCCCGGACACGCACGCGTAATTCTTTTTAATTATCCGACGGCCCGGGGACCCGCACACACCGGCGCGCTCTCTGCCAATTAAAATTCATAATTCGCTTTGGAAGTAGCGTTTTTACTGGCTTT